TCTCTGCCTCACAGCTGTACTGTGCCATCGATGACGAGTGCGTGGACCTTCACGAGAGAGCTCAGACACCAAGACTGAAGCAGTAATCCCGAGAGGACCGGAGGATCTCGATGTCGTCTGCCTACGACGCGTAAGTGTGTCCTGTTAGTGCAACTGCCTATCTTCCATCGAGCACAAGCCCCATTCCTGATGTATTAGCCAGATAGCGCATTACCCTCTTCGCAGCCGACCAGTGCTCAGGTCAGTGTCTCCCAGTTGCAACAAAGCGAGCAAGGATGGTGAGAGGATATGCGAGGTCTGGGCGAGTGCAAGTCATCAGGTACATGAGGCACCCCACCAGCTCTGCGTACTTACCACTGGGCTCAACAGACTCGTCAGAGACAGGGGCCGAGAGCTTATGGTCAATAGGTAGAGGAGTGGCCCGTGCAGAGGAGAACTGAAGGCTTACGCGCTGAAGGATCTGCTGCACCATGTGTGACTGAGTCAGGGTGATGGTGCTCGTTGCTCTGTCCTTGATGATCTGCAGGCCAAGATAGCGGTGCAGCTCACTTAAGCCAGTGCAGGCGTGCCTCCTCAGCAGCTCGGTCTTCATCGGGGCCGGTGCGACCCTGTATGGAGTAGCAAATACGAAGTCATCGACGTAGACAAGAATGTAGAAAGGAGTCGAGCAAGAACGAACGAAGAGAGACGGGTCAGGAGAGGAAGGGAATAAGCGGAGGTCAACGAGAGTAGTGCGAAGCGTGTTGTGCCACTCACGAGGCGTCTGACACAGACCGTAGACGGCCGTCGAAGGCTCCACTGGGTCCCAGGAGGGAAGGACCCAGTGAATCCAGGTGACGGCAGAGGAAGATCTTCTCGTGCAGGCTGCCTTGGAGAAAGGCAGTCGAGAAGTCAAGTGAGTGAAGCTCGTAGTCGCGCTGTGCCGCAGTATGCAGCAGCACCCGAACAGTAGTCATCTTCGAGGTGGTGGAGAAGGCCTGAAAGAAGTACACTCCCTCTCGCTAACTGAAGCCTCTATCCACGTAGCGTGCCTTGAAGACAGGCGGCTCGCCAGGTGGTCGCTTCACCTTGAAGATCCACATGCCATCGACTACGTTGGCCCCAGGATGGGCAACTGCGTCGACGTACGTGTCTGTGGATCTCCAGTATGCCATCTCCGTGTCCATGGCTGCTATCCATTGAGAGGCCCAAGGTCCCGAGACTGCCTCAGAGTAGGGGTCGAAATGTCAATCATGGAACGTGGGAAAGTAGACAGTAAGGGATGACGTGGGAGGCAACGGGAGGACAAAAGGTGGCAGAACATGAGGGGGAAGAGAACGGAGGAGCATAGAGTGGATACTGGGAACGGGAGACGCGGGGCGAGCACGAGAGGGACGACGAATTCAGGGGGAAGATGCAAGAGTCGGGTTAGAAAGTAGAGAAGGAGACAGCTGTGGAGTAGGAGGAGGACAAGTCTGGGGGAGGAAACGGGGGACCGTAGACTGGGATAGACAGTGAGGGGGGAGCAGGCGGTTGGTCAGTCGAGGGGTAAGAAAGACCAAGAAGGCGAAGTGCAAACACAGGTGGCGACGACGGCTGCTGCAGCGGTTGCTGCTGCTGCGGCAACGGCACCCCCAGAACCAGTACCTCTTGCAGTAACACCCCCAGAGCCAGCACCCTCAGAGCCGGCACCCCCAAAGTCCACAAGGACCAGCTGCGGTGGCGGCGACGGCTGCGGTGGCGGCGACGGCTGCGGCGGCAACGAAGGTTGCCGCGGCGACTTCGAGGACGACGCCGGTGACGGCAGAGACTGCTGCAGCAGCTGGGGTGGGGGCGAGAATGGAGGCGCACCCCCACGTACCAGGCCTTTAGAGTCAGCAGACTTCCCCACAAACCCAACCGAGGGAAGGGGGATGACGTGCGACACACCAGACGGGAAAGGAGGGGAGCAAGCGGAGGTGATCAAGTGGAAGGGAGAAAGCGGAGGTGTGGGACCAGGAGGGGGAGTGGGAGTGAGAAAGAGGGGATGGGGGGAAGCGAGAGTAGAAGCAGACAGACTCCTTAATAGTGACGTCACGAGGGTGGAGGAAACGGTGAGGGGGAAACCAAGGAAGACACACGGGAGAGTGCGGGCTTAGCGGACTGCAAACTGCCACTGAAAATGGGGGGCACTACATGATTCATGGAGGTACGAGCGATCTAGATGACCAAGCCAATGTGTCGCTCATCTACCCCATTCTGCTGTGGCGAGTCCGGGAGCGTATACGTTGGGGTGATGCCCTCCGCACGACAGATTGGGCCAAGGCGACCGGAGGCGAACTCGCCACCACGGTCGGAGTGCAGCCCAAGCACAGGAAGGGCGCGCTGGGCGTGAACGGTGACTAGCCACGGGATGAGAACGTCAGACGTGTCGGCCTTCCGCTCTAGGGGAAACACCGTGGTGTAGCGGGAGTAGTCATCCACAACGACCAGGAAGTAACGCTCCTGGCGCGGCCAGAGACAGGGGCAGGGCCCCAGACGTCCATGTGCAAGGTCTGAAGAGGCGTAGTGGTGGGAGTGAACGAGGATGAGTGAGGGGCGGCGCGCTGCCGGCCCTCGATGCGAGGAGTGCACGGCGGCACATACGGGAGAGCGGAGAGTGACGACAGGAGATCAGAGACAAGAGTGTGGTGAGTCATGTGACGGAGACACGGGAGAGCGGGGTGACCTAGACGGTGGTGCCACAGGGTGACGGGTGAGTAAGCGACCGACACGAGCACGACGCAGCTACCTAACCAGACACAGGGACCTGGGGGAACACAATGTTCAGCGTAACAAGACCTGACGCAGGGGTTGCCCCAGTGGTAATGTTCGTATAGGTCGCAAACCGCTCGTGCCCAGGAAACGTGATCCTGAAGACGACCGACACCCACCAAGTTCCTGGAGAACGAGGGGATGTGCAGGCCGGTGAGGGAGCCAGAGGGGACTACTAGACACGGGAGTGCTTCCGTGCTTCGCGAATTGATCAAGGATGCTCCGACATCGATTGATGTAAGTGTTCGCTTACCCCTTAGGCCTCATTTTCACCTTCATCAATTGCTGGAGCAGTCTGCTAGACGACACGGAATCCTTGGGCTGGTACAATTTGGTGAGGTAGGCCTCCAGCGCCAGAGCTGGCTTCGTTTTGAATGAGCGAATGCCTAACTGTTCTTTCGGTGACATGTTCCGTAGTGAGACGCTGTACGCTATGAGCGAAGAGTTTTAATATGGCGCTATGGCATTGTTGGTGTCTGTCGTGGGGCATGCGTAGCTTCCGTCGAAGCAGTTCTATATTTGTGTGTTATGGAGCAGCAACTCCAGCTAGAAGCTCCAGTTAAAAAAACGTTTATAGTCAAACAAGGTGCTCGTGCGTATTTTCGAGATGTTCAGAAAATTGTACTGAGCTGAGAGTATTGCATCATCACTTGGACGAAGAATCTTTGGTGCTGGTATGTTCGTGTCGAGCGAGAAGGTTTGCACGGCGTTTCCGTGGTCAGTTGTGGCCGGTTGTGCGGGTTCGGAGGATGTTCCCGCGTCGCCAGTTCGCAAATATTGGAATCCTTACTTCGATCTTGGCAGTCGCTGAATCAGCTGCTCCAGTACGGCGGTGTTGATCGTAGTTGTTGCTTCCATATCCCTATGGCCATCTTGAGGCGAGAGCGTGTGCCGGTCGCCACTTTCAATTCGTGACAGGTTTAGAAAGTGGGGGTACAAATAATCCCGTTACAATCCGTAGAGGGACTTAGTAAGAATCTTGCTCAGGGTTGTTTGAATGATAGTGCATAGCGAAGTTTTAATTGTTAGAATACTAGGAAGGAATGTTGATTAGGTAAGAGGGAGGGGGTACAAGGATGTCGAGAGAGTTGGGTTGTACCCTCTAAGGTGTGACCCCTACACAACCTAGAGTAAGATGAACAGAACAATATGTTTTGACACACCCCCATAGGTGAAGTAGGGGATAGCCAAACCTAACGGTGGTCACAAGACCAATCAAGCAAGAGAACAAGCAAGGCAAAGCCTAGGGTGGATCTCAAGGACACCACACAATCTGAGCACAAGCAGGCGGCCACAAGGTCAGTTCACATGCAGATTTATAATAGCAAGGCAGTACACTGATCACAACCTAGCACGAGTAAACATGCAGGTATAAAGATATATAGCAGTGTACAACAAGAGCAAGTCAAGCAACCAGCAGGTGAGGCAGAGTGGGCACAAGCCCAAGAGCGGTGCAGAAACGCTGATGATCACCAGCCCCAAGGGCCTTGGTGAAGACATCAGCAGTGTTGGCCCGAGAGGCCACGAAAGCAAGGCGCAGCTGACCACGCTGCTGCAGCTCACGCGCAAGGAAGTAGCGCAGAGCAATGTGCTTCGTTCTGTGCTCCAGTCTCAGCTCGCGACACAAGGCAAGCATTGCCTTGTTGTCGACGTACAGAACTGGAGGAGAACGAGGCCGCTCCCCCAAGTCGGTCAGCAGGTAGGTCAGCCAGCGTAGCTCCTGTGCAGCCATGGCCCCAGCGTAGATCTCGGCCTCACAGCTGGAACCAAGCACAGAAGAAGAACGAGTGGACCTCCACGAGACAGAACCAGAGCCAAGACTGAAGGTGTAACACTGTGACGAACGCTGAGTCGCCTGGTCGTCGGCCCAAGTAGCGTCAGAGTGTCCTGTGAGGACCACCGAACCCCGTCCTCCAAGCACGAGCCCCATGCCCGATGTGCTGCACAAGTAACGCAGTACCCTCTTCGCAGCATCAAAGTGCACCTTTCGGTGTCTACCGGGTGCCACGTAGCGGGCCAGAAGGCTGAGAGGGTACGCGAGGTCAGGTCGTGTGCATGTCATCAGGTACATGAGCAGCCCACAAGCTCTGGGTAGGGACCACTCGGCTCTATGGACTCGTCCAAAGGTGGAGCTGAGAGCGAGTGGCCGGTAGCCAGAGGAGTGGGCTGTGGCGAGGAGTACGTGAAGCGGAAGCGCTGAAGGACCTGGTGCACCATGTGTGACTGAGTCAGGGTGATGGTGCGCCGTGCTCTGTCCCGGGTGATCTGCAAGCCAAGATAGCTCCGCAGCTCACCCAGGTCAGTGCAGGTGTGTCTCTCCTGCAGCTCCACCTTCACTAGGGCCAGTGCCTCAGTGTCAGCAGTAGCAAAAACCAAGTCGTCAACGTACACGAGGATGTAGAACGGCGGCAGAGAAGTGTCGGTGCGTAGAAACAGCGACGGGTCAGCAGTCGAAGGAGCAAACCCAAGAGCCGCAAGTGTCGTCCTCAGTGTGTCGTGCCACTCGCGGGGCGCCTGACGCAGGCCGTACACTGGTCGCCGTAGGCTCCACTGGGTACCCTCAGGAAACGACCCAGTGAAGCCCTGTGGACGCCGCAACCAGATGGCCTCGTGAAGGCTACCCTGTAAGAAAGTTGTGGAGAAGTCGAGGGAGTGCAGCTCGTAGTCACGCTGAGCTGCAACATGTAGCAACACCCGAAGAGTGGTCATCTTCGGGGTGGGGGAGAAGGTCTGAAAGAAGTCGACCCCCTCACGCTGACTGAAGCCTCGAGCAACGTAACGTGCCTTGAAGGCAGGCAGAGAACCCGGCGGCCGCTTCACCCTGAAAATCCACATGCCACTGACGATGTTCGCCCCAGGTGGGGGAACCTCGTCGACGTAGGTGCCTGTGGACTTCCAGGAAGCCATCTCTGCGTCCATGGCTGTCTGCCACTGAGAGGAGTACTCACCCGAAATCGCCTCCCTGTAGGAGCGCGGGGTGGGGATGTCAAGTGCATCCGGGTCTCCTTCAGGGGCAAGCAGCATGGTCGCGTGATGGGGTGAAGCGGCAGCAAGGCACTCCAACTCCTCCTGTCTGTCCTCAAGAACGTCACAGCCAAGGGCAGTACAGCCAAGAGCAGTCTCACCCCCGACGGACGGAGGACAGGCAGGGACAGGGTCAGAGACAAGACTCGCAAGGTAGTCTAGGCGGTACACAGCAGCAAAGTCAACGAGCTCAGCTACTAGGGCAGACGCAGCAGGAGACGAGAACGTAGGGTCCGTCACAACCGTAGCAAGAAGGCGAGTAACAGTCGGACTGGACGCACGAGCAAGGTCAGACGGAGGGTCAGCAACGTCAGGCAAAGAGGACGCAGGAGGTAACGGTAGGACAACACGCTGAGGAACAGAGGAAGGACGGAGTGTCATATCGTGAGTGTCGGGGACAGCCGGAGCACGCGGACGACGAACACGAGCACGGACAGTAGCTCTAGGCTCAGGCTCAAGGTCAAAGCTAGACTCAGGCTCTCGACGCTCAGGGGTGGAAGCACGAGTCTCAGGCTCTCGACGCTCAGTCAGGGACTCTGACACCGCAGTGTAAGGAGCAGGAGCAGGCAGTGGGGAGTGTGGTAGCAGTGGCGGCTGTGACTGGTCCGCCGGTGGACACAGCAACGGAAGAGTAGTACCTGCCACAGGGAAGCCAGTAGCACCTGGCTGAAGACTGAGAAGGTGGCGAAGGGCACCAGTAGCTCCACCAGGACCTCCAGCACCTCCAGCACCTCCAGCCCCAGCAGCTCCAGTACCCCTAGCACCTCCAGCACCAGCAGCACCTCCAGCACCTCCAGCACCAGCAGCTCCACGGCCTCCATCACCAGCAGCACCTCCAGGACCTCCAGCACCAGCAGCTCCAGCACCTCTAGCACCTCCAGCACCAGTAGCACCAGCAGCTCCAGTACCCCTAGCACCTCCAGCACCAGCAGCACCTCCAGCACCTCCAGCACCAGCAGCTCCACGGCCTCCAGCACCTCCAGCACCAGCAGCACCAGTAGCTCCAGTACCCCTAGCAACTCCAGCACCTCCAGCACCAGCAGCTCCAGGTCCTCCGGTAGGAGCTCTGACGACACCAACACCAGAAGGACTCGCAGCGCCCCCAGAGTCAGCACCCGAACTCGCAGCACCCCCAGAGTCAGAACTCTCGGTCTCAGCACTCTCAGGCTCAGTACCCTCAGTCCCAACACTCTCAGGCTCAGTACCCTCAGTCTCAGCACCCTCAGGCTCAGTACCCTCAGTCCCAGCACCCCAAGGCTCAGTACCCTCAGTCCCAGCACCCCCAGGCTCAGTACCCTCAGTCTCTGCTCCAGTGTCCACAGCAGCAGGCTGCAGAGGCGGCGAAGACGGCAGAGGTGGGAACCCGGGGGGAAGTAGCCAGACGAGGAGAGCGGGCACCCCCAGACTCACCCACCCCAGCCCCAGCTCCAGTAGTCTCAGCTCCAGAGTCCACAGCAGCAGGCTGCGGAGGCGGCGAAGACGGCCGTGGCGGGAAACCCGGGGGGGTCTCCAAGAGAGGAGTGCGGCGAGTGGTCGCCGTGTCGTCGGCGACGGCGTCACCCCCCTCAGGTGAGTCAGAGGAGTCAGAAGAGATCTCAACTGGCTCATCCAAGGGGGGTGGGTCTACCTGGGACACACCTGAGGGAGCAGGACCCTGTGGGGGGAGGGGGTCTACCGGGGGGGGGACTGGTACCAGGAAGAGAGGTGCGAGGGGGACCGGGTGGGACGCGTGCGGGTGAAGTCGGTAGTAACAGACCGACTCGTCGAAGGTGACGTCCTGAGAGGACAGAACACGACGCGAGGCAGGGTGGTAGAACTGCCAGGGTGGAGCGTCGGTGGGGAAGCCCAGGAAGACACTGCGGAGAGTGCGAGGAGAGAGCTTGCGCTTTGGTATCGCGAACAAGGGAGAGCGCGCCCCAGACCCGAAACGACGACGCATCACCAGGCTGTCCCGTCCAACGGAGTGTGGGCGAGGTCTTTGGAGCAGAGACACGGGGCCAGAGGTTGAGCTGATGCGCGGTGTATCGGACCGCAAACGGCCACAGGAAATGGGGAGCAGCCGCATGGATCATGGAGGTACGAGCAACCTCCATGATCAGGCCAATGCGACGCTTAGCGATCCCATTTTGCTGCGGAGAGGCCGGAAGCATGAACGACTGGGCGATGCCCTCATCCTGGCAGAACGTCTCAAGGACGCCAGAGGAGAACTCACCACCCCTGTCAGAGTGCAGACGCAGGACTGGGAAGTCCTGCTGAAAGCGCTCGTGTAGCTGGAGACGAGTAGCACGGATCCAGGGGATCAAAACACCGCTGACGTCCGCCTTGCGACGCAAGGGGAAGACTGTGGTGTAGCGTGTGTAGTCGTCAACAACCAGCAGGAAGTAGCGCTCCTGGTCCGTCCCACCGACGGGGGCCGGGCCCCACACGTCCAGGTGGAGAGTCTGCAGAGGAGCAGTGGTCGGAGGAAACTCGGAGGAGTGAGGAGCGGCGCGCTGCCGCCCCTCGACGCAAGGAAGGCACGGCGGCGCAAGTGAGCGCGGGAGGGGGGGCAGGGTCTCAGGGAGGCCAGAGACCAGGAGTCGGGAGTGCATGCCGCGCAGACGCTGCAGGGAGGGGTGACCAAGACGGTGGTGCCAGCGCTGAGTCTCGTGCGTGAGTACTCTGCACGAGCAAGACGCAGCTAACTGCCCTGACGCAGACGCTCGACTCGACGCAGCTACCTGACCTGACTCAGCCACCTGTGCAGACTAGACCCAGGCTATCGAGTGAACGTAGCCAGGTGACGGCCAGTCCGGGAGCACGTACAGATCGCAACACGCTGACCTCCAGGAATAAAGGTATCAACCCAGACATCCTGAATGGCAGCGTTGCTCACCAAGTTCGTCGAGAACGTGGGGAGGTGCAGACCCTGACAAAGAGCCGGAGGGGACTGCTGGACAAGGGAGGACCGTGGAGGCTCTCGCAACCACTGGGCCCCCAGAGGGGTCAGCCAGTGAGACTGGGACAGGAGCTGTGAGTGGTGTGACTGTGGTGCAATCACGGAAGAAGCAACGTGACGCGCCTGAGTCAAGCGTGAAAGTGTGCAAGACCTCAGCTGAGGCAGGACCTGTGGTAGTAGACGCACTAGCACCTAGAGCGTCGGTAGACTCACGGGCACCTAGAGCTGTAGCAGACTCACTAGCACCTGGAGCGGCAGCAGACTCACTAGCACCTGGAGTGGCAGCAGACTGACTAACACCTGGAGTGGCAGCAGATTCACTAACACCAAGAGCAACGGTCCTAACAGAACGATAACCTCCACCACCAGGACGACCTCGCTGAATAACCCACTCACGAAGCTGCCGAGGGGTGGGGTCGTCCGGGAGAAGCAGTGCCCGCTGCTGACCACCCCTGGGCGCAGCAACTGCCGCGGAAGTGGCCATGACAGACAGTGACTGTCAGGAGTAGGTCCAGCACCTCCAGCTCCTACAGCGCCAGCAGCACCTCCTGCACTTCCAGCAGCACCTCCTCCACTTCCAGTAGCACGAGTAGCAGCAGCAGCAGTAGTAACAGCAGCAGGGCGGTTCGGTGGGGCTGGGAGGCCGCACCTCCACCACTCCCAGCAGTACTCCCTCCAGCAGCAGCAGTAGCAGGGCGGCTCGGGCAGCAGCAACAGACCGAGCAGCAGCAGCAGCAGTAGACCGAGTAGCACTAGCTGTAGCAGCACGGAGGAGTAGCTGCAGCAAGTAGCAGCAGCAGCAGCAAGGAGGAGCAGCTGCAGCAAGTAGCAGCAGCAGCAGCAGCAAGGAGGAGCAGCTGCAGCAAGTAGCAGCAGCAGCAGCAAGGAGGAGCAGCTGCAGCAAGTAGCAGCAGCAGCAGCAAGGAGGAGCAGCTGCAGCAAGTAGCAGCAGCAGCAGCAGCAAGGAGGAGCAGCTGCAGCAAGTAGCAGTAGCAGTAGCAGGGCAGTGCAGGTGGCAGCAGCACTGCAGCAGCAGTTCAGGCGCAGCAGCGAAGCAGCAGCGTGAGTGCAGCAGTAACACGGGCCGCGTGCGGGCCAGGCATGGGCTGTAAGGGCTGCGTGCCGGCCTGGCGCGGGCTGTACGAGCTGCGTGCGGGCCTGGCGCGGGCTGTACGAGTTGCGTGTGGGCCTGGCGCGGGCTGTACGAGCTGCGTGCGGGCCTGGCGCGGGCTGTACGGGCTGCGTGCGGGCCTGACGTGGGCTGTACGGGCTGCGCGACGGCCTGGCGCGGGCTGTACGGGCTTCGCGACGGGCCTACGCGGGCTGTACGGGCTTCGCGACATGCCTACGCGGGCTGTACTGGCTGCGCGCGGGCCTGGCGTGGGCTGTACGGGCTGCGCGACGGCTTGGCGCGGGCTGTACGGGCTGTGCTCGGGCCTACGCGGATTGTACGGGCTGCGCACGGCAGAAAAGGGCAGGGCAGCGCGAATTGCTGGGCAGGGCAGAAACTAACGGTCGGGTAGGTGAAAACGAATGTGGTGGCCCTTAAATTACGGTCCTAGGCTAGGAACGTCCTAGCTCTTAATACCATGTTAGAATACTAGGAAGGAATGTTGATTAGGTAAGAGGGAGGGGGTACAAGGATGTCGAGAGAGTTGGGTTGTACCCTCTAAGGTGTGACCCCTACACAACCTAGAGTAAGATGAACAGAACAATATGTTTTGACATTAATGACACCTGTCATAGTGAATGTAAAATGTTAGAAGTGATTATAACAAAGAGATATAGTAGTTTATATAGGAATACAAAGAAGAGTACCGTACGAAGGGTCCTGGCTATGAGAAGAAACGAGGAATGAAATGACTAAGTGAAAGTTGGGTACAAGAAGCAAACCCTAGAAAACTGTACCCCATATGTGCTACCCCACTATAGCCTACAGTAGCTATGTCATATAAATCTGACACACCCCCATAGGCAAAGTGGGGGAGAACAAGGGGTCACAAGACCAGTCAAGCAAAGCAAAGCAAAAACAAGCTCAGGGTGGATCACAAAGTCACCACACATTCCGAGCACAAGTTCAAGGCCACAAGGCCAGTTCACAAGCAGGAGTACACATATATATAAAAAAAGGCTAGACAAACAAGAGCAGGTATATATATATATGTAACAGTACTAGCAAGGTCAAGAGGTGAGCAAGTGAGGCAAGGTAGGCACAAGGCCAAGCTGAGTACAGAAGCGCTGATGGTCACAAGGCGCAAGTGCCTTGGTGAAGATATCAGCAGTGTTGGCCTCAGAGGCCACGTACGCAAGACGCAGCTGACCACGCTGCTGCAGCTCACGAGCAAGAAAGTAGCGGAGAGCAATGTGCTTCGTTCTGTGCTCCAGTCGCTGCTCCCGACACAAGGCCAGCATGGCCTTGTTGTCTACGTACAGCACTGGAGGAGAACGAGGCAACTCTCCGAGGTCAGTCAGCAGGTAGGTGAGCCAGCGAAGCTCCTGTGCAGCCATGGCTCCTGCGTAGATCTCAGCCTCACAACTGGAGCCGAGAACAGAAGACGAGCGAGTAGCCCGCCACGAAACAGAGCCGGAACCAAGGCTGAAGGTGTAACCCTGTGACGACCGCTGCGTAGCCTGGTCGTCAGCCCAAGAAGCGTCTGCGTGCCCAGTAAGGACCACTGGACTCTCCCCTCCAAGCACAAGCCCCATGCCCGACGTACTGCACAAGTAGCGCAACACCCTCTTCGCTGCAGCCATGTGCTCCGGTCTGTGTCTCCCAGGAGCAACATAGCGTGCAAGAATGCTAAGAGGGTATGCAAGGTCAGGTTGTGTGCAGGTCATCAGGTACATGAGGCAGCCAACAAGCTCTGGGTACGGGCCACTCGACTCTACGGACTCATCCGAAGGCAGAGCTGAGAGCGAGTGGCGAGTAGGCAGAGGAGTGGCCCGAGGCGAGGAGTACGTGAAGCCGAAGCGCTGAAGGACCTGCTGCACCATGTGTGACTGAGTCAGGGTAATGGTGCGGCGTGCTCTGTCCCGAGTGATCTGCAAGCCAAGGTAGCTGCGCAGTTCACCCAGGTCAGTGCACGTGTGTCTCTTCTGCAGCTCGGACTTCACGTGGGCTAGTCCAGCAGTGTCAGCTGTGGCAAAGACCAAGTCGTCGACGTACACGAGGATGTAGAACGGCGGCAAAGAAGTGTCGGTGCGCAGAAACAGCGACGGGTCGGCAGTAGAGGGAGCAAACCCAAGAGCTGCAAGTGTAGTCCTCAGTGTGTCGTGCCACTCACGCGGTGCCTGGCGGAGACCGTAGACTGGCCGCCGTAGGCTCCACTGGGTGCCAGGAGGAAAAGACCCAGTGAAGCCAGGTGGGCGACGCAGCCAGATCTCCTCGTGCAGGCTGCCCTGCTAGAAAGCAGTGCTGAAGTCAAGAGAGTGTAGCTCGTAGTCACGGTGAGCAGCTACGTGCAGCAGTACCCGAAGAGTGGTCATCTTCGGGGTGGGAGAGAAGGTCTGAAAGTAGTCAACTCCCTGCCGCTGACTGAAGCCACGAGCCACGTAACGCGCCTTGAAGACAGGCGGAGAACCCGGCGGTCGCTTCACCCTGAAAATCCACATGCCACTGACGATGTTCGCCCCAGGAGGGGGAACAGCGTCAACGTAGGTGCCTGTGGACTTCCAGGAAGCCATCTCTGCGTCCATAGCTGCCTGCCACTGAGAGGAGTAGGGACCCTCTATCGCCTCCGCGTAAGAGCGCGGAGTCGGGATGTCAAGTGCATCCGGGTCTCCCTCAGGGGTAAGCAGTACGGACACGAGATGAGGTGAAGCAGCGGCCAAGCACTGGAACTCCTCCTGCCTGTCCTCAAGGACGTCCGTGCCAAGGGCACACTCACCCCCGACGGACGGAGGACAGACAGACTCAGACTCAGCAACAAGACTGGCGACGTAGTCTAGGCGACAGCGAGCAGCAAAGTCGACGAGCTCAGCAACTAGAGCAGACGCAGCAG